TCTGCCTCACTTGGGAGACAGGGAAGCCGAGGCTGGGAAAGGCAGCCATTTTTTTCTATGACCATCACACTTGAGTAAGGTGACCAGACGTCCCGCTTTTGGCGGGACAGTCACGATTTAAAATCGGGATTTAAAATCGGGATTGTCCCGCCAAAAGTGGGACGTCTGGTCACCTTACACGTGAGCACTACCAAAGATTGCATCCAATGTTCTGTAACGATTCTCCTAGGCTGAGCCATCTCGTGGTTTCCAGTCCTCTTGCTGCTGTACGTAATGCAGCATGACCGTCTCCATGTCATTAAAATTCCCCCAAGAGCTCAGTTTGGACGACGGCGATATAATATTTCACATAGTCAACAAAAACGTGCATACCAGAATGCCGATCGCATCATTACTTACGATAGCTAACATTGACTGTAAGTAAGCCACGCAGAAAAATGCTCCTGAGATGATAGCAAGTGAAAGCAGTGGGGTACACAATTGCATAATCACCGCGCTCTTGGTTATGGGGGTTGGTGGGGCCGGGCAGGGGGGCTTACACATGCATTTAATAAAGGGAGTTGGGTGGAGGGGCAAAAAAAAGGTGGTAGGGGGGAAATGGGGGATATCTGTAATACTGACAATAATAAAAGAAAAGAAAAGAAAAGAAAGGAAATACCCCCTTAATTTTACAACTGTTTTTTTGCTGCCTGGTGAACGTTTACAGAAATTGTTATTTTTAAAATCTTTCTATATTTTCAAGATTCTTCGCAATAAGCATGTATTAATTTTAAATTTTTTCAAAAACGTTTTAAAAATCAAAATGATTAAGTTCAATCTGTGACTTTGGCTCATTGCTCTAGCCTAGAGTTTGGTAAACGTTTTATAAAAAGCTCCAGATAGCAAATGTCTGGATAGTAAATATTCACTTTGTGGGCCATCTGGTCTCTGCTACAGTTACTCAGCTCTGCCATTGTAGTATGAAAACAGCCATTGACAATACACAAGCATTGTGGCTGTGTTCCAATAAAACTTTATTTATAAGAACCAAGAAGTGGGCCAGACTTGGCCCATGGGTCATCGTTTGCCAACCCCTGCTCTAGCCTACCCAAACTATTGTTTTCCTTTATAAAAAATAAAATTGACAGGAGGAGGTGCTGGGGCAGCCAGGCTGTGACCAGACAGGACAGTAGCCTAATGGCCAGAAAGCTTCACAGCCCCAGGAAGCCTGTTCGAATCCCGGCTCTGACAGTTACCGACCTGCAGTGGGACAAGGAAGCTTTGTGGCTCAATTCCTTGATGGTGAGACGGGGATAATCATAGTACACACCTCACAGAGGTTTTTATGAGGATTAAGCCAATTGAAACAGGCTGATTGATTAGAACAGCACCAGTAATATAGTAATTTTTATAATGTTTACTATTATTATTGTCATTAATATTTCTAGTGAAGAGAACCATTCGCTTTTTTTGGATACCACATTTCCCTTTGTCCCAAGTAAGGCCCAGACCGTATGGAAGAGTGTCCACGTCACAGTTGCTCTGTGGCCACGGGCAAACTCCATTGCTTCTCTGAACCTTGGTTTGTTTGTTTGTTTGTTTTTAATAAAATGGGTCTGTTATTGCCCCCTGCAGAGGACGAGCACGGCCAGCTGGCCGGAGCTGCTGGGTGCAGGGTCAGGGCAGGGGCGGGTCAGCTCCTCTGCCTTCTCCGTCGTCCCGTTAGAACTGCGCCTCTGGGCCGGCGGGGCAGGTGGTGGTGAGGACGGGGCAGGTGGTGGTGACGGTGGGCAGGTGCTGACTCGGGGGCCGGAGGTCCTGAGGGAGGCAGACAGCTGCAGGGGACGAGATGAGTACCATAGCAGCAAGGATCCCCGCTGGGTGGAAGCCACGGAGGCCAGACGTGGCACTCAGCCCCTCCCGAGGGCCCTCTGTGAGCAGGGGGTGGTGTCACCCTCATTTCAGGTGAGGAGGCAGGGACAGAAGATGCAACGACGGGCCTAAAGCCGCCCGAGCTCGGGAGCGAGGCGCCAGGACGTGGCACGCTGTCTGACTCCAGCCTGTGCCCGCCGAGGGGTGAGGGCACGAAGACGGAGCCCCCAGCCCTGAGTGAACACTCGAGCCGAGTATTAAAGCACATGTGTCAAACACAAGGCCCGCGGGCCAAATCCGTCCCGCCAGGCCTTGCAATGTGGCCCGCACCGCGCTGTCATCACTGCACTCCGCTGCGTTTCCATCACAATGACAGTTTATGACTGTTCAGTAAACCATTCGGCCCGCGATTTAGGCTGGATTTTAGATTTTGGCCCCTTCTCTGATTGAGTTCGACACCCCTATATTAAAGGATGTGCAGGAGTTGGCCGCTAAGCAGACAGGAGAGCACTTGCGAAGGCTCTGGGGTTTCGGGGGTGGGTGGGGGGGGATTGAGGATGTGCCCGTTGTCTGTTGCCACAGTAACACTGCGTATGAGCCAGGGCCCGCGGGGGTGTGCCGGAGCCGGCGCAGCCAGCTCCAGCTCCTGCCGAGGCTGGCCAGGCGTCCTGACCTTGGGCCCGCTTGCTCGAGCATCGGGTGCTGTGTGAGTGCCGCAGCCGAGGCCGGATGTCAGGGCTGGGCCCTGCGCTGTGGGCCCCCCACCCAGAGGTGCGGGCGAGAGGGCACCCGCGTTGTGCCGCGGGCTGTGTCCCACCCACGAGCCCCGCAGTGGCCCAGCCTGTCCCGTGGGGGAGCCCGGAGGGGGAGCAGGGGCTGCGGGAGGCACAGGAGTCTGCCTTCGGCCGCCCAGGGCGCTCGGGGGCGGAGGACGGGGTCTGGGCAAGCTGAGGCTGAGGGGGCAGAGGTCCCAGGGGCCACGTCTGGGGGAATGACCTGGAGGGGCCATCGGAGAGGAGGTAGGAGCCGCCCTCGGAAGGACCTCGGCCCGGCCAAGCAGCAGCGGGGCCGCGTTTGTCCTGCAAGCAGCTCGGCCAGGCGGGCGCTCGCCCGTCACACCTCCCAGCGGGACGTAATTGGCCTTGGCCTCTGCCGAAAGGTTAATTGCTCCGATCACACAGTCCGAAGCTCCCGGGACTGACAGATCAGCTCCCCAATTAAGGACGCGGAGCCGCTGTCTCCTCGGTCACTCAGCCGGGCCGCGGAGGGCAGAGGGGCCGGGCCTGCCACAGCCTCGGGGAGCAGAGCCGGCAGGACGCTAACCAATGAGCACACAGTCCGGGGCCATGGCGGACAGCCTTACCGGGAGGGCGGGCGCTAACGGCTGTTTTGGCCGCAAGAGACGGAAAACGCACTTGGACAGGCTCGGGCTGAAGAGGCGCTTGCTGGCTCCGGGAACTCGGGGTAGCCGGCTATGCCAGCGGGGCGCGCCCGCCCTCAGGAGGTGGCTCCTGTCCCCCATGGTGTTCCTGAGCTGGCTTCCTTCTCAGGGGGAGGGGGGCTGCAGGCTTCCGTCCTCCCCAGTTAGCAACCCCAGTGGTCAGGGGACCCCTCCCTCCCCAAGCCCCAGGCTGGCTCTGCTGGGTCCTGCTTGAGTCCTGTGTCCACTCCTGAACCAATCACTGTGGCCTGGGTCACAGTCCAGCTGGAACCGGATGGGTGGTCTGCCCCAGCACACCACACCCCAGCACATGGGCTGAGAGAGGGGGCGGGCGCCGTGGGCTGTGGTCCCTGGAAGGCAAAGCAGGTTCTGTTCCCAAAAGGGATGCTGGGATGGCCCGGGGCACAGGAGTGTGTATATATGTGTGTGTGGGGGGGCGAGGGGGGGTTCCGGGGGGGGGGGGGGGTAGGGAGGGCGGGTCCCAGGAGTCATGTCGGAGAGGAAGGACCTTAGGAACTTTTGAGTCCGACTAGGGGAGAATCATAGGGAAGAACAGATTCCCATTTCACAGATGAGGAGACTGAGCCAAGCATGTGATCATTTCAAACCGGGAAGCTACTAGGAAGACAACTGAACACTCTATCAGCGTGGGGAGGGTCTGGTTCGGTGGATGCGTTGGGACCTTTCTGGGTCCTCTCTGAGCAGCTGGCATTCCAGCTGAGACCCGGGTGGAGAAAAAGACCAGCCACGTGAGGACAAGAGGAAAGAACGTTCTAGAAGGAACAGCTGGGCAAAGGGCCAGAGGCCGAAGCTAACTTGGCCTCTGAGGGACCCAGGGATGGACACCAACATCTCGACATGTAGTGGGCAGGCTCCCCACGGCGGGCTGAGAGCCGGGGATGCCACACGCCTCGCACATTCGCGGGAACGTGGTGCATCCTTCCGCTCGGGTCCCGGTGGCCCTTCCCTCGCGGGGCCCAGGGGAGGCGGGACCCAGAGGCTGTTCAGGCAGAAGTAAATATTCACCGTCTCCCACCAGATGCTCTTATTTGAAAAAAAAACCTTTGCCCAGATGCCGGCGAAGTGCTGGCCATGGACGTTTTGATTTAAATTTTAGTCCTAGTGAGCTGGAATCTACTCCTCTCTATGTCCGCTTCTTGTTTTGTGGGTTCTCTGGAGACCTAACCTCTGGAGGCTTCTTAGAAAACATTATTTTTTAACCTCAAATGTGAGGCATTTGTAAGCCCTGACCTCCCAGGCCCCATCCAGCTTGCCTAGCTCACGGGTCCTCTGATCTTTGAAAATAACAAAGGAAATGCCGTTTATATTGGCAGAGACTTTGTGGTCCTCCCGGATGAGGGATAAACCCCCTGAAGGGGGTTTCAGAGTCCAGATATTTTCAGAATCTTCTGCCAGAGCGATAAAACCAGGGCCCCTGTGGCCCAGGAGGTGGTGGGCGGGGTCCTAAGAGAAGGTTCTAGGGTAACTGAGTAGAGATTCGAGAGTGAGAGAGATCAGGTGATACCCCTTACCCCCCACCCCACCCTCAGGATGAATCTCCTGCTCAGAGGAAGTCCGTCCTTGTGCTGCAATAGTCCTTATATAACCTCGCAGAAAAGCCCAGAACGATTTCTGCCCACAAGCACTGCCCCCCTTTCCTGTACATGCCTGGAAGATGCTGACACGAATTGAACTCCCCCTCTTATGTGGGCTGGCCTGGTGCTGGCCAGGGTTAAAGGAAAGCCGGTTAAGAGCTCGGAGCCCCATGTGCTGTTAGAAGGTGTGTGACCTTGCTCAGTTCTTGCTCCTTCCCTGGGGTGAGTTTTTTAAGACACGTTTTTATGGATTTTTAGAGTAAGAGGCAGGGAGAAGGATAAAGAGAGAGATGAGAGAGACACATCGATGAGAGAATCACATCGATAGGCTGCCTCCAGGCGCCCCCTACTGGGGATGGAGTCTGCAGTCTCGGCACGTGCCCTGACTGGGAATCGAACCGTGACCTCTCGGTTCCTGGGTCAGCGCTCAACCACTGAGCCACACCGGCTGGCCTTGGGGTGAGTTTCCACCGTCTGAGAAATGACGTGGCCTTGACACAGTCATGAGCGGACCTGAGCCCCGAGAAGGATGGTGCACGGGTGTCTTTCCCCCTCCCCCCCAGCTGTGTTTAATGGACGCACGTGGTGTGTGAAGACATTAGAATTCGTTGCTGATGCTTCAACATGGGGAGGTTTCCCTTACAGATTGGGGTCCCCGGCTTCTGTGGAAACCCTTTCTGGATGTGGCCTGCCCGGTGCTGCAGTTGCCACCATGCCCCACTGTCTCCCTGACCTGGAAGCAGAGCGTCAGCTCCATCTGTGACTGTGCTGCTGCCTGGGTCCCCACTGTGGTCCGGTGGGCCAGCACTGATCCCAGGCTCACTCCTCCTCCCTCCACCCTCATCCCTCATTCCTCTTCCCTCTTCCCTCCTCCCTCCTCCTCCTCCCTCCTCCTTCCTCCCTCCTCCCTCTTCCCTCCTCCTTCCTCCCTCCTCCCTCCACCCTCCTCCCTCCTCCCTCCTCCCTCCTCCTTCCTCCCTCCTCCCTCCTCCCTCCTCCCTCCTCTCTCCTCCCTTCTCCTTCCTCCCTCCTCCTCCTCCCTCCTCCTTCCTCCCTTCTCCCTCCTCCCTCCTCCCTTCTCCTTCTTCCCTTCTCCCTCCTCCCTCCTTCCTCCTCCTTCTTCCCTTCTCCTCCTCCCTCCTCCTCCTCCTTCCCCCTTCTTCCTCCTCCCTCCTCCCTCCTACTTCTCCCTCCTTCCTTCTCCCTCTCCTCCTTCCTCCTTCCCCCTCCCCCTGCGTAGATCCATGAGCTTTTTTTTTAATATTAAAAAAAATCTTTATTGTTCAGATTATTTCAATTGTTTCTCCTCCCCCCCCCCCCCCCCGCCATAGCTCCCTTCCACCTGGTCCCCACTACACCCTCTGTCCTTACCTCCTCCCCCACCCCACCCCCCGTCCTCATCCATAGGTATATGATTTTTGTCCAGTGTCTTCCTGTACCCCCTACACAGACACCCCTTTCCCCTTGAGAATTATCAATCTCCTCCCATTCTATGCCCCTGATTCTATTGTATTCGCCAGTTTATTCCGTTCCTCGGATTTTTAATTCACTTGACTTTTAGATTCACTTGTTGATAGATATGTATTTGTTGTTCATAATTTTAATCTTTACTTTTTTCTTCTTTTTCCTCTTTTTAAAGAACACCTTATAGCATTTCATATAATACTGGTTTGGTGGTGATGTATTCCTTTAGCTCTTTCTGATCCTTGAAGCTTTTTATCTGCCTTTCAATTCTGAATGATAGCTTTGCTGGGTAGAATAATCTTGGTTGTAGGTTCTCGCTATTCATCACTTTGAATATTTCTTGCCATTCCTGTCTGACCTGCACAGTTTCTGTTGAGAAATCAGCTGATAATCGTATGGGTGCTCCCTTGTAGGTAACTAACTGTTTTTCTCTTGCTGCTTGTAAGATTCTCTCTTTGTCTTTTGCTCTTGGCATTTTAATTATGATGTGTCTTGGTGTGGTCTTCTTTGGATTCCTTTTGTTTGGGGTTCTGTGTGCTTCCTGGACCAGGACAGTGGTCAGATCTGGGGGTTCAAAAGCTCATGCCTTGGCAGGAGGCTCTTGGCCCCCCCCCCCTGCCTTCCAGATAGCATGGCCTCCTCTGCCCGGCTCTGGCCTGTCACCACTGGCCTCTGTGGCCACCGCTCCTGTGCTCCTAACTCCTGCTCTGGGGTTAGGAGCAGCAGTTAGGGGGCTGGAGGGCCAGGGCAGAGCTGGTGCCAGGCGCGCTCCAGCCGACACTGGGCCTCAGCCCTCACCTTCCTCCTCTGCGCCTCCGGGTCCTCACCTGCCCGGTGGAGTCTGGAGCCTGTGGTGCCTGGCACAACGGGAGGAGCCAGCTGGGCCGCCCAGGGGCACCCAGGCCTGAGCCCATCCTGCAGCGGTGCCTCGCAGTCACAGGGTCTTGGGCTGGTACCCAACCTCTTTGCGCCTCATCTTAACCTGGAGCTAGAGGAGCGCGGCCATCACAGGTTTTTATGGAGATGGAAGGAGCTTCTATTTGCAAGGCCCAGCCCGGTGCATGGCTCGGCAGGGGGGACGTGGTCGGCCTTCCTGGGTGTGTCTCACCCCTCCGGTTAAACCTGGGGTTCCCGGAGGGCTGGGTCCCGTTCCCTCGTGCATACTGCCGCCGCTGGCACAGAGTCTGGGTGGGGACACTGGTTTGGGGTGATGATGGCTGTTTTGCAGGTCTGAGGGAGGAGGGTCAGTTTCATCAGAGGCCTGGATTGGGGTGGGAAGGTCGGAATGCCTTTGGGGCCACAGGGGACCCTGGATTCAACAGTGGCAAGAGCATGCCTGGCCCTGGGGTCCTGGACAGATATTGAATCCGGGCCACCCAGTTGGACAGTGTCTGCCCACCACTCCTCCTCAGCCTGGCTCTGTCCGGCTGGGGCAGCCCCGCCTTGTGCTCTCCCCTGTGAAGTGGAGACAGCTAGCCGCACCGAGGCCTATCGTGAGCTGAGCCTGGATTGTGCCACTTCACATTCTCATTTAATTCCATCCTCACAACCACCCTCTGAGGCAGATGAGGAAACAGAGGCTCAGAGAGGTGAAGTAACCTGCCCAAGGCCACACAGCATTCAGCAGCAAAGCGGGGGTGAAGGGGGGCGGTGCCTGTAGGTGGTCTGGCTCCCTAGGCCTGTGGTTGGCAAACTGAGGCTCCTGAGCCACATGTGGCTCTTTGGCCCCTTGAGTGTGGCTCTTCCACAAAATACCACGGCCTGGGCCAGTCTATTTTGAAGAAGTGGCATTCAAAGTTTAAATTAAAAAAAAAATTGGCTCTCGCCGAAACCGGTTTGGCTCAGTGGATAGAGCGTCAGCCTGTGGACTGAAAGGTCCCAGGTTCGATTCTGGTCAAGGGCATTTGGTTGCGGGCACATCCCTAGCAGGGGGGTGTGCAAGAGGCAGCTGATCAATGTTTCTCTCTCATAGATATTTCTAACTCTCTATCCCTCTCTCTTCCTCTCTGTAAAAAAAAAATCAATAAAATATATTTTTAAAAAAATTTGGCTCTCAAAAGAAATTTCAATCATTGTGCTGTTGATATTTGGTTCTGTTGACTAATGAGTTTGCCAACCACAGGTCTAGACTTTCATGTGATTTCCTCATTTTTAAGTGTTGGCACTTCATTCAAAATTTAAAAAGACTGCCTCTACCAAGGGAGAAAGAGAAGATAGAGAGGCAGAGAGAGACAGAGGCAGAGACAGAGAAAGAAAGCAAACAAACATACAAAACCCAGGAAACTGAACAAAAAAAATCTCAAAAACTTGTCTGCAGCCCAGTTTGCAGCTTCCAACCTCCCCGTCCTATTTCCCTTGCTGCTCAGCAACCTGTTGGGGAGACGGGGAAGGAGGCCCAGAGCGGCCCAGAGGCCTGAGGACTTCCCTCGGATGGTGGGGGTGAGGCGAGGCCAGAGCTCAGCCTTGGGCATCTGTGTTCCCCTCCCCGCACTCCCCCCTCCTCCCCCCCTCCCCCCAGCCTCCTCCTCATCTGTGTTCCCCTCCCGGCACTCCCCCCTCCTCTCCCCCTCCCCCCAGCCTCCTCCCCAGGCCGCAGCCCGTGTGGCCCAAGCTCATTTTCAAGGCAGTTTCTGGATCCTAAAGAGAGAGATCATTGTCATGGGATGCTGAAGGCCAAGGTCCCCATGACATGTTGCAAAGGCTCGGCGACTGTCCCGGTTCCAGGAGGCCATGCCTGCCGGAGACACTTCCAGAGGGTGGAGCTGGGTGGAGCTCTGGACCACGAGGTCTCCTCAGATCTGCTCCGATGGTGACCTTCATGAGGACGCAGGAGAAGGACTCGGTTTTCCGGGCCCAGCATGCCAGCTTGCTACACCAGCGTTTACAGAGGACTTTGCAGCCACGATCTCATGTAACATTCCCAGAAAACATGAGAGGCTACCCAACCTCTTTGCACCTCATCTGTGGCCTCAAGTGTGGACTCCATCTTACAGCCAAGGAGTCTGACGCTCGGAGGGCGCAGGGAAGGGTCCACAGTCAAACCCAGGCCCCGGGACCCCACGCCCAGGCTCTGCCACCTCCAGGGGGTCTCCCGGGAGGTGGAGAGAAGCTTGCCTCTCTGGTGAGGCCGGTCGTGGGCCATGGCAGGGGCTGGAGTGGTCAGGGGAGGCCTCGCGGAGGAGGCGGTCTTGCGTGAAGGAAGAAGGTGTGTTGGCTTTTTATTGCTGCTGAGACAAGTTAGCGCGAACCTGACTTACCACGACCCGGATTTACCATCGTGCAGTTCCGGGGACCGGAGTTCCGGAAGGAGCCTGGTGGGGCTGACATCAGTGTCGGCAGCAATGCCTTCCTTCCTGGGGGCTCCGGGGAGCCTGTGTCCTCGCCTCTGCAGTTCTAGAGGCCGCCTGCACCCCTGGGCCCGGGCCCCAGCCCACTCCCACCTCCACGTCCGTCCTCTCCTCTCCCGTTCCTATGCTGACCCTCTGGCCTCCCTCGTGGAAGGACCTTGTGATCACACCGCGTCCGTCGGAGAACCCAGGATAACGGTCACACCTGCAGGGCCCCTCTGCCACGTAGAGGACGTTGGGATGTGGACATGCTGGGGACAGGGCCTGGGCGTCTCTGCAGCCACGATCCGGCTGCTCCAGAGGGACCACACTCCAGGCTGGGCCTGCTGGCGGCACGGGAGGGCGTGGGAGAGGGGCCCTGTCACAAGGTGCTGGGTGCAGGTGGACAGGGCTTCTGGGAGCCCCCTTGTCTGTCGATCACTCGAGGGGGGGGGGGGAGCGTGCTGCTCCTGCTGACCCCGTCTCCTCGCGTGTAGTTCGGGGTACGGTGCCCACTCCTCAGGCTGCAGAGAGGACCGACGGGGCCGCTGACGAGTGAGCACGAGGGCCGAGCCTGGCCCGTACGAATGCTGCAGGAGCCTCAGCGGTCTGATCGCCGTGTCCTCGTTATTCCCACGGAGCGTCACGAGGAGGCCGCCCAGGCCAGGGCGTCTGGCCACCGGACACACAACGCCCTCCCGGGAGCACGGGCGCTGTGGCCAAACTGGATGAGATCTCCAGACACAAGGACACTTACAGAGAAAACACCCCCTGCCCCGAAGCCCATCGGTTTAAGACGTCAAATCGATCAGTCGTGGCCGTGGCCGCGGGCTGTGGGCGCGGGGACTGCTCCCGGATCCCGGATGTGAAATCATGTGAAATCATGTGACATCATGTGACATCATGTCAATGACGCGGCCGGCCTGACGCTGAGGCCGGGCGCGCGGGGCGGCGGCTGCTGTGAAATGTCAATGCGAGCTCGGAGGCAGGCGGCTGAGCGGGAGGAGGCCCGCGGGGAGAGACAGGGTCACTGAGCCCAGCCTCCACCTTCTGGTGAGACGTTAGCGGGAGAGGAGAGAGGGGGCCTGTCACAAGGCAGGCGGGAGCAGGTGGGGGGAGCAGGTTTCCCCGCTCCCCACCCCCATCCCAGCTGCTCCATGTCGCGTGGCTGGCGTGGTGACCTCAGAGGCGCAGGACGGAGCCTGGGGGAGGGCTGCCCGGGGGAGGACTTGCACCGCCATCCGCAGCCCGGGTCCCAGCCTGTGGCCGAGGGGCCTCTGGGAGGCTCCCAGGCCTCAGTTTCCCTCCCAGGAGGACAACTCGATTCCGGAACAAGCTGCCAACAGGCTGCATCCAGCCCTCCAAACGTCTTGTTTGGCCCACACAGTATTTTAAAAATATCTGAATTCATTATCAACCTTTAAAAATAGGAGACTTCACCTAAAAATACACTTTTCTGGACTCGTTTGCAAAGCGATTGGTTGTGGCGACGGTGGACGGGTGTCCACACACGGTGGCCGTGGAGCTGCGCTGGGGCTGCGCCGGGGCTGCCCCTCACGCGGGGCCCGAGGCCGGTCCCCCCTCCGGTTCCCGCCTAGCTCTCCTGCGCATCGGGCTTGCAGTCCCCACGGATCGGCCACCCTGGGTGCCAGGGTATCCAGGCCCCTGGCACGGCGGTGGTGCAGCATGGAAGACCCTGCCAGACCTCCCTCCGACTACACGTACGGGAGCACCAGCCAGCGCAGCCACCCCACACGGGAGGGGCCGCTGTCACAGAGTCAGCAGAGAAGGAACGAGATTCGGCTCTAAAAGTACGCCAGCAGACGTGGCTGAGCCGAACGCGGGATGTGAGAGCCGAGCCGTCCTGGCCGAGCCGTCCTAGCCGCCCCAGCCCACGTCCTCCCCACGGAGGCGGAAGGCCTGTGAGGAGCCACCGGATCCCCCGCCAGCGACAGAACCTTCTAGGTCCCACCGCACGGCGGGAATGGCGCATTGCGATGCCCATCGGTGCTGCTCCGGGGACTTCCTGAAGCCAGAGCCTCGTCCCTCCCAGCGGGGCCCCCGGCCAGCAGCAGCCCCTGGGAGCCGCACCCAGGCCACCGACTCACGCTCTGCCTTTAACCAGCTCCCGGGTCCACCCGGTTGCACAGTCCGATGTGGGGAGCCCGCCCTAGAGCAGTGGTTCCCCACCTTCCTAATGCCCCGGCCCTTTCACACGGCTCCTCGTGCTGTGGTGACCCCCAACCATGACATTATTTTCGTTGCTACTTCATAACTGTAATGTTGCTACTGTTATGAATCATCATGTAAATATCTGTGCTTTCCGATGGTCTTAGGCGACCCTGCTAGCGGTTCTCAACCTGTGGGTGCCGATTATAGAGCCTAAGACCATCGGAAAACACAGATATTTACATTACGATTCATTAACAGTAGCAAAATTACAGTTATGAAGTAGCAAGAAAAATAATTTTATGGTTGGGGGTCACCACAACACGAGGAGCTGTATTAAAGGGCCTCGGCATTGGGAAGGTTGAGAACCACTGCAGGGCCTAGAGGATGAAGTTCAAGGGCCTCTGTGTGGCTTTCCGGCCCCCGGGTTCTCTAACCCCCCTGCCCCACGGCCTCTCACAGCTATTGTCATTGCTAATATTCATGCTTATTAGGAAGTGGCAGCCATAGGTAGCATCCTTGAATATTTTCCAAGTGTCAGGCTCATGTGATGTATAATAGCTCTGTCCACTGACTGCGGGGGGAAGGGGGGCAGCCAAGGTCACACATCTCAGACCCGCTTCTCCTCCCCCTCCCCACCACCCCCAAAACCTCCCCCCGAACCCCCAGGACCTGGTCTGGGCTGTCTCAGGGAGGGCGAGACCGGCGAGGAAACCGAAGGGAAATGATTCTTGCAGACCCGTCGGTTCCCTCCTCGGAGGGTCAGCGTCGGAGTCACCAAGCTGATCTGAAAAAAGGCAAAGAGGGCGGCTAACAGGATTAGCCGTCACCCCATGGGCCGCACCTGATGAGAAATCACTTCACTTCCGCTCCGGTCTCAGCGGCAAACCCAGCCGTTAGTGCCAGCTCGGAGGCGCGCTGCGCAGCCGTCCTCGCTGAGATGCGTGAGCCTTTCCCTAGTCTCCAGGGCAAGCCCCGAGGCAATCCCCCTCCCCTGCTGCCCCCGAGGCTGCGAGGCTGCACCCCTGTCCCGAGGCCTCCTTGGCGTTGCAGGGCACCAAAAAGTGAGCATGCACGTAGCCAGGCCCGCACATCGTGTCCCTTCTCACCGTCTGCTCTCTGTTCTCTAAGGGGCCCCATGCCCACCGTCTCCCCGTACCCATCGGCTCCCTTTCTCACCCGTGGTTATCGGGGACTTTGGGAATGTGGTGCTCATGTTGGGGTGCCCTCAGCGCCACAGGGAGCCCGTTAACGCACAGAGGGCCCCTCTCAGAGGGTCTGGCTCAGTGAGTCGGGGGTGAGGCCCGAGAGTTTGCATCCAAAGCCCCAGGCTGGCAGCCACCGGAGACGCTGGCTCAGGGCCCTGCTCTCCTCAGATCCTTCGCCGTGAACACGACGCGTCAGGGGTGTTCTCTGGAGGGAGCCCATTTCCCCCAATGGTTCACAGGAAGGCCCTGTGGCGGAGGCACTCCCAGAGGCGGGGGCAGGGCTCCGAGCGAGGCCCCCAAGGCTGGCGACGGGAGAGCTGCCACAGGCGTGGGCAAGGGGGCCTTCAGGCCGGACAGTGTCCCAGGGCCTGGAGCCGTGGGCCCCGGAGCTGAGGGCCTGGGCAGGAGGAGGAGCCACGGCAGAGGAGCTGGGGGGTGGGGGTGAGGATTGGGGGGTAAGGTGGGGGGACCATCAGCACAGAAAGTAACTGCCCGGTGTTCTCCAAGTCTGCCGTCTGCCTAGACTAGAGCTCGCAGGCTCCTGAGCTGCTCCTTGTTTAAACAATTAGCAGGGGTGGAAAAGGTGCTGAGCACACACCGGCATCACACAGGCACTCTGGATTGAGGTGTTCGTAATTTAAAATTCACTCTTTGATTCAGACAAGGTGACGCCGTGGATTAACTAACACACGGACCCCGTGTGGCTAGCACCTCCCGCCCAGCGCTGCCCATTGGGCTAACTCACCTGTTCGCCAGACATCGGAGGGGCTGGTGCTGGGGTGGTGGGCAGGGCGTCAGTGCAAAGGTGGGTGGCGTGGGGGTGGGCTCCGGACGCCCTAGAGCCCTCAGGCATTGGCAGGTGGCAATGTGGTCGGGGTGGGGCCCACGGTGTCGCTGGATTATGGATGCTCCGTGGATCCCACTCCCTCGTTTTTTTTGCTCCACGTGCTTTTCCGGGCACCTCGAACCCTCCCACACCTGCAATTTCTTTCTGGGGGACAGTCCCAGCAGGTACTCGGCCAGTGCCCGTGTCTTGCCCGGGCCCCTGTCCGTCTGAGCGCCGGCCGCCTCCTGGTCATCCTGCAGCCGACGGGCACGCCCAGCGGCTCGCACCCTCAGCATCATCTCCTTCCCAGCTGCCCCGGCTGGCAGCACGGCCCACCCTGGACACCTCCGCTTCCGGGCCCCACATTCACGGTCAGCAGCCCAGCTCTCAGGAGGGAGCTAGCAGGTTCCCCACTTGTCCTCACTCCGTCCTTGCCACGACCCAGGCCACCACCTCTCGCAGGGGCTGCAGCGGAAGCCTCCAGCTGGCCTCCCCTCCCCCCACCGGCCACCGCACAGCCTCCCAGGGGACCGTCGGGCACCTGTCTCTGCAGCCCGGCCCAGCCCATCCCCTGCCTGGCTTCCAGGTCCTCCCTGCCGCCTCCTTCCGCTCCACGCCTGGCAGCCTGCTGGGCTCAGGAGCCCTGAGGACAGAAGGACCAACCCCCGCTGGCCATCCTCCTCAGGGATCCGGGCTGGTGTCTCTGGGATGCTGAGAGCAGGCAGGTGAGGGCCGTGGCTGGGGAACTCTTCGCCCCCACCCTGGCGGGCCCCTGCGGCCAGGCTTGGAGGACGGTGATTTCCAAGAGGCCACTCCATCCTGCCAGCCTAGCTCTCTGCCCGCGAGGGCTCCTGGACTCAGAGCGGCCTGGGTTTGAATCCAGGCTGTGCCGCTGTCCTGCTGTGTGGACCAGCGGTTTAATCCCTCCGAACCGATGTGTTCATCTTAAGAGGGGTGCTCCCTCGTGGCCTTGCCAGGTTGTTGGGAGGTCGGAGGGGAAAACACCTGTGAAAATGAGTGTCTCAGGTCTGATTCCCCGGAACCGGACCCCACGACGAGGGTTCAGGCAGGACTTTCATGAGGAAAATGCCCCGGGAGAGTGTAAGGCGACTGGGACGCAGGACCCGGAAGGGACGGGGACAAGTAAGGGGATGATGTCAGCAGGGCCAGGAGGCAGTTCTAGCCTTGCTTTCTGGCGGGGGGCAGTGTGTGTGTGTGTGTGTGTGTGTGTGTGTCTGGAGGGGGTCGGGGGTGCGCTGAGTGTGGGTCACATCCCAGGATTGTCACGGCCAGAGGCCAGGGCAGGACCGCGGTCGGGCGGCTTCTGGTGGGCGGCAGCATGGAGGGAATGTTTGCAGAGACTTTCTGAATGAAGATGGACGCAGACTCCAGTTGCCCAGGGACCATCCTCCAGGAGAGAAACACGAAAGAGGTGCAGGCAGGCGGGGGGCGCACATCGCCAGGTGACTTGGAGTTCGGTGACGGTGGCCCTTTTGTGACTCTCGTTGCTGTCAGCACAGTAACAGCAGCAGTTCTCACTGTCCTGCGTGTTCTTGGTCTGCGTGGTCGGAAGCTCTCAGGCAGCTGCTCTGAGCCCAGCGGGCTGACAAGGAAATAAATCTGGAGGGAATAAGAAGCATAACCCCAGCCAGACACTTCCCGAGCTCTCCGCCCCCCACCTTCCCATCTCCCATCCGGAGGGAAAGAGCAGAGCAGGGCCCTGCTGTGAATGGGGGAGGGGAGGAGGCCTGGCCCAGGGCACCTCCTGGGGCGTGGGGCGGTGCAGGGAGGGGGCCGAGTCAGGGAGCTGCCACGGGGAGGGACAGCCTCCGCCCGCCCGCCGAGGGACAGCAGCCACCGCTGGAGGTGAAGGCCGCTGGGAGGGAGACAGCCCCGCTTGCCCTACATCTGCCTCCCTCTCTGCCGCCTGGCGGGCCTCGGGCCAGCGATGGGCCTGGGAGGCTGCAAGTATGCTTGCCAGGGGGTGTTTTAACCACATCCAGGCTGCCAAGTGCACATTATTCTCCCACAGAAACCCAAAGATGCCCAGGAGACTCGGTATTTTTATAGCAACGGAGAAAGAGGGGAAGAAGAGAAAGTTCTTCAAAGCTCCCTGAGTCCCGCTGTGCTGGGGCGGGAGCTGGTGTTTGAGGGCCTGCCTCCTTCCTCAGGGAGGATACAGGGACGCTGCGATTGCTGTTTGCTGGCTTCCCACAGGCTGGCTGTCCCTCGGATAGTCCAGGTGCGGGAGCAGCTAGTGCAAAGGCACAGAGACAGGAAGGAACACATTAAAAGTGTCCGAGAACAGAAACGCTGAAGCTCAGGACTCTTCGGTGTAAGTGATGGAATTCTCAGATTGAAAGAACCAATGACTGACAGCTTCAGGCATGGCTGGATCCAGGGGCTCAAACAATGTTCTAGGACACCATCTCCCTTCATCTCTTGGCTCTGCCTTCTTTGACATCTGCTCATTGGTGGCTGGTCAAGTCTATCCTTTCATCTCCCCAGCCTCAGAACCAGTGGAAGAAAGGCGTTTTTCCCCCAGGGGTTCCAGTGGAAGTTTTGTTGAACTGATTTGAGTCATGTGTCCATCTCTGGCTGGGCAAGCCTGGTCTGTAGTCCTTTCTCTGAAGTATGCGTCTTGCTCAAACCATGTGGTTAGTGTGGTTTAGCAGACAAGTCACATGGACGTGTTCCATCTTCTACTTTCTGCCCCTTTTTCTCAGAATCTTATCTGTTCCCACCGTTTTATTTCTCCATCTTGATCTTGTCTGTAGCCTTGACCTCATCCAAGAGCTTCAGTTCCCACAGTGCTCCACCCACCCAACTGCCATAGCACGCATGCACGCCGTCAGCTCTCACTGTGTGCTACCCATGAGCTCGTTACACTGCTGTGCAACGGAACCCTCACAGCACAGCAATGCTATAAATAGGTGCTGTTATTATCCTCAGGTTATGGGTGAAGAAACTGAGACGATCATTCCTGAACCAATGACCAGGGGTCAGATATGATTCATATATGGATCAAACATGGAGCCCAGATGTGGGCCAGCTGCAACTGAACTGCATAGGCAGAGAGAGGAAGGGACTCTCCAATGAAAAAGCAGAGAGGAAGAAGGGGGAAGGTGGGGTGGGCGAAACAGAAGATGCCCCTAAACTAAGAGGCAGATGATGGGAACTCAATTGGACCAATTTAGGGGAAGAGAGCTGTGCTACCTCAGGGACTGAAAAGTACAATAGATCTGAACAGCCAAACCGCCCGAAGGACAGGCATGTGTCTGCCTTCAGGACCGGCTGGAACCGGGCACTCACACTATCAGAGCCTTTCCTCCTGTCTTTTTCAATGTTTCCAGACTCAGATTCCTAGAGAAGGGCTTTGATTGCTCAACCCTTGGTCATGTGATCACATTGGACCAATCAGCTGGTCCCAGAAAGGTGGGACTACCGTAGACCATGGCAGCTCCCAGGGAGAACAGTGAGGTTGATGCTGCGGGAGCGGAGGTGGCGGTTTAGAGAGAAAAGTGGAGGAGAGCACAGGGCAGATGACAATGTAGGTACCCCTTGAGGCAGGCACGATGTGTGAGTGAGCTGGGATGCTCATGGCTGCAGGTAGGAGAATGTCACACTGACCAGCTGAACCACGGGGAAGCCCCCAGGGCTGGCGGCTGCTGGTCCAGGGAGGTCTCCTTTCTGCCGCTCTGCTCAGTGACTCAGTGTCAGCTTCATCCCAGCTGCCTGCTCGAGGACAACTCCCACGGCCGTCATCCAACAGGCGGGCAGAGTACGAGAGGCTCTGCATTGCCACAGGATAGAAGTCCCCCTCGCCCTCGGAAGGGGCCCCTGCCGGTGGTCTTAATCCAGCACCTAGGAAGGTTCGGGAATCTGGAGAAGGCGCTGTGTGTCGATTAATCAAGAGTCCAGAGACAAAACATAATTTTGGAAGGCATTTTGGGGAGCCAGAGAAGACTTTGCTAAAGGAACCAAGTTCTCCCTGTCTCAGGACCCCTTGCTTTTTATTAACACAGTTTTGTCCTAAGGCAGGGCAGATACACACATCAAAGGCCAGGGTTTAGCATACAGAATCCATTGTCAGATTGGAAGAACTACCTATGGCTGTCCAGGTGTTTGGCCAGCAGGAGGCCATAACATGTAGATTAAAAAGCCCTTAGCTGTCTGGCAGCAAGCCATCATTTATGCATCCTTTTCAGGTTTGGGGAAGTGCCCTCTGCCATTTCCAGCAGGAACATATGTGATTCAGCCCTTGCTGAGCCCCCAAGTTCCATCAACCTTTTGCTGAAGCTCTTGCATTTGTGACATGCTGGAATAGGCTTCTGGGAGGCCCCCTTATTGGTCACAGGCCACCCTGCACAAGCACTGTCACCCAGAGTGCCACGGGCTGACCGGCGTGGGCTCGGAGTCCTGGGCCAGCCTGCGGGGAGGATGTGTGGCCGTGGTGTTCTGACCCTGAGCAGGACCCCCTCCCGCTGAGGCCTGACGCCCTGGCTGAGGGCGCGGGCGGGTGCACGCGGAGCGGCCACCCTGCCGTCCACCCCCCCTCACGGCCTCTGCTCTGTCGCCAGGCGTCCTGTGGCTGTCGGTGGTGTCCGAGGTGCTGTACATCCTCCTGCTGGTGGTCGGCTTCAGCCTCATGTGTCTCGAGCTCTTCCACTCCAGCAGCGTCATCGACGGGCTCAAGCTCAACGCCTTCGCGGCCGTGTTCACGGTGCTCTCAGGTAAGGCGCTGCCGGGCGGGAGCCAGGAAAGGCGCGGCCGGCCCTGTGCTCAGAGCGGGTGGAGCGGGCCCTGAGCCGCCCTCGGGCCCAGCCCTGGCTGTCCGACCGATGACCTTGGGCCAATCTCGCCTCTTCTCTGAGCTTCAGTGTGGCCGCTGGCAGTGGGGCTGTTGGCTCACCCTCCACTCACTCAGCACGTGTCCATCGAGGTCTGTCCTGTGCAGGCGCCCTGCAGTAAGCACTGGGTTACAGCAGTGGCCAGACACGGCCATCTTGGCCTCCTGGGAGAGGAGAGGAATTCAGGAGCTGATGTCCCAAGCTTGGCCATCTTGGGTGGGGTGGGGGGTCTTGGCATGAGGGAGAGGGAAGTGGCTGTGAGGATGGGCGGCAGTGGTGGTGATGTTCGCAGGGATGGGAAGGGCCTGCTTGGCACGGCGGGCCCGAGTCTGCTTTGGCATTTCCCCTCTGAGACAGCGCATGGGAACCCCAGCAGGAAGCTGGTCAGCGAACTCACCCAGAAGCTCAGGGGCGAGTGTGGGGTTGGCAGAGATTGTGGCAAATGCCGCAAAGCTGAGGATTTCGAGGGTTTCAGGAAGAATGGGGGGTGGGGTGGAGTTAGCCATGGGTTAGGTGGCCGGTGCCCGGAGTTATTTCAGCTGCTCCCGGTCACAGGGGGGTGAGCAGGAGGCGCTGGAGGGGATGCGGGAGCCCAGGAGCTGTAACGTCAGGCGCCTGGCAGACAGGGGTGGCCTGGCGGAGAGTCAGCTGTGCCTGAGAAGAAATAGCCCACTGACTGGGAGAACATTTTCACCAGATATATTTGGTAAGGGGTTAATATCCAATGTTTATAAAGAATTTATACAACTCGCCGAAACCGGTTTGGCTCAGTGGTAGAGCGTCGGTCTGCGGACTGAAAGGTCCTGGGTTTGATTCCGGTCAAGGGCATGTACATTGGTTGCGGGCACATCCCCGGTGGGGGGTGTGCAAGAGGCAGCTGATCGATGTTTCTCTCTCATCGACATTTCTAGCTATCTATCTCTCTCCCTTCCTCCTCTCTGTAAAATATCAATAAAATATATTTTTTTAAAAAAGAAAAGAATTTATACAACTCAACTCCAAAAAAACCCCCCAAAGAATCCAATTTAAAATGGGCATAGGACCTGAATAGACACTTCTCCAAAGTGGACATACAGATGGCCAACAGGGAAAAGATGCTCAATGTCACTAATCCTCAGAGAAATGCAAATTAAAACCACAGGGAGGGGGGGGACTGAAGGGTCCCGGGTTCGATTCTGGTCAAGGGCCTGTACCTTGGTTGTGGGCACATCCCCATTGGGGGGCGGTGCAAGAGGCAGCTGATCGATGACTCTCTCTCATCGATGTTTCTAACTATCTCTCTCCCTTCTTCTCTGTACAAAATCAATAAAATATATTTAATTAAAAAAAATAAAATAAATAAAATAAAAAAATAAAACCACAGGGAGGTACCACCTTACACCTGTCAGAATGGCTGCCACCAATAAATCAACAGACAACAAGTGCTGGCGAGGATGTGGAGAAAAGGAACCCTCGTACACTGCTGGTGGGAACGCGGACTGGCACGGCCCTGTGGAAAGCAGTATGAAGTCTCCTCAAAACATTAAATACGGACCTTCCTTATGACCCAGTGATTCCACTTCTGGGAATGTACCTGAAGAAACCTGAAACAGTAATTTGAAGGATATATACACCTCTGTGTTCATTGCAGCTTTAGAGCCAAGATCTGGAAGCAGCCCAAGCGCCCATCAGCAGGGGAGTGGATGAAAAGCCGTGGGGCATTTACACAGTAGAATACTACACAGCCATAAAAAAGAAGAAAAGCTCACATTCTTGCCACAGCATGGATGGACCTGGAGAGCATTATGCTACGCGAAATAACTCAGTCAGAGAAAGACAAGTGCCATACAATTTCACTTATATGTGGAAGTTAATGAATAAAATAAATGAACAAACAAGGCAGAAACAGACTCATAGCTACGGAGAATAGACGGACGCCGTTAGAGGGGCGGGGCTGGGTGGAAAGGGGGAAAGGATTAAGTAAAAAAAAAAAAAAAAAGAAAGAAAGAAACGTCTTCACCACTCCCAAGAAACCCGGGTTCCGTCTAACGGGGAGTCCGGCTGCTGAGGGAAATGAGACGTCTCTGTAGTTTTGGGCAGACATAAAAGGCAGGGCCGGGAGGTTCATTGACGTGCTCAAGGCACGCGGCTGGCCACCTGTGGAGCTGGGATTACGGCTGACAGCTGCTGGCTTCGAGCCCTTGGGAGGGCCCAGGTGGGAGGGAGAAAGGTTACATCCTCAGGACACGGGCCCTGAGAAGCCTGCAGCAGCCAGAGGGTGTGATAGACCGAAGTGGCAGGAGGCAGAGAGAAAGAAGTGTGTACTGGCGCCTGGAGAAGATAAACCTGGAACAGGACAGGGAGCGCTGGCCCTGCAGGAGCCCCTTGAGAATGGGGGGAGGGGCTGGGAGGAGGTGGCTGGGCTTCGGGTTTGCTCCCACGGGAGGGAAGGAGTGGGCGAGCCTTCGGTGGAGTCCACGTGGGGACCAGCTCACATTGAGGGGTCCACAGCCCAAGGCCAATGGTAGAGGAGAAAGCAGACCTGAACCAATTACTGTAATGAACTAGAGGCCTGGTGCATGAATTCATGCATGGATGTGGTCCCGCCGGCCCTGCACCCAATCAGGGGCGGGGCCAGCCCAGCGGAGGGGCCGAGGGGGGGTTGGCCAGCTCGCCCCACCCCCTGATCAACTAACTCCCAGTCCAGCTCCCAGTTGAGGGGACAATTTGAATATTAGCCTTTTATTATGTAGGATTATTATAATGAACCCCATTGATTATGGTTAACCATAATAGCCATCACCGACGGAGGTGCCATTGTGCACACACTCTGGGCTACCTGCCTCATCTGTGCACACCCCTGTGAGGGAAGGAGCAACGGCCATTCTGCAGCTGTGAGTCCTTCAGTCACGTAGCCAGGGGTCGTGCACGCCAGAGCAGCCACGTAAAAGGCTTTGCATAGGCTGCGGCGGCTGCTGCTGTGCGTACTGTTGTCCTTCCCAGCTGTCCTGGAGCAGCTGAGGCCGGATCATGGCACAGGGGCCAGCCTGTCCTGTAAGCCTGGCCCAGGGGTCCGGATTCATCAGCCGACAGGGCTCCCTCCCCAGTGCCATGCTCCGAGAAGGCGGTCGGCCCGTGGGGCCAGACCCCAGAGGCCACGGGACCTAGGGCCTGCCAGAGGCGTGCATTTTGGCTGCTTTTAACACCAGAAGGCCAGTATGACAGAACAGTAATGAAGATTGGATTGTATTTGTCCTTATACCAGTGCAGTCAGCAAATGTAGTGCTCCTGCATGGAGGGGCGGGCGCATGAACGCCATCCTGTGGCTGCACGGAGCCCGGCTTCCCCCTCAGGACCCAGGGCACCCCCAGCCCAGCGCACCCCCGTCTGTGCCCCTTCCCCTGCAGACCAGGGTCTCAGCGAGAGGGACTGTGAGGGCAGGCTGGAAGGTGTCTGTTCTCCCCCAGTTCCGCCAGAAAAGGAGGCTGATCTGCTTACGGGGGGAAAGAGAGGCAATTTGGAGAACTCCATGTGCTGGTCCAGGGAATGATTGGACCCCGTGGAGCAGTCAGCAGGTCAAACAAAAACATGACCCAGGACAAGGGAGCTCTTTGGAGTCCAGGAGTCATGTGATCTCGGCATATTTGGAACCACGGAGCGTGTGCGTTTGCGGGGGGCGGGCTTGCAGAGCCACCTGCCTCGCGCCCGGTCGAACTGCTGCGGTGAGTGACTGTGTGCTGGGAACCGCTTGGTATGGCTTCTCACTGGCTGTCCTGGCAGCTTCCCCCAAGTCCCAGCTCCCTGTGGCCTCACATTCCTCCCCCGTCCACCCTTCACTGCACTCCTTGGCTTTTTCTTCGCACTCACTCTTGGTGTGGTGATTTGTAATTTCGTACTGTACACGGCCACCTAATATTCCGCTGGCCACACAGTCCCCTGGAAGAATCCCTGCCCAGAGCCCCCTCCTCCCAGTTCCCTTGTCCTGGCCAGACTTGTTCTCTGGCCCGTCTCTTAACAAGCAAGTACTTTCGTGTCTAAACGTGCAGAGGATCTAAGCCAGAGGAATGAGCATCTCCACGTTAAAAATTCTTCTAATTGCAGGCGACAAGAACCCCACCAAGCCAGCTGGAGAGGGGCGGGGGGGTGGCGGGTCATGTGATTGAAAAGCACAGGGTTCTTGGGCTGCAGGCACGGCTGCCTCCAGGTGGTCACGTCATCCTGTCACCAGTCATCTGTCCGGATCGCCTGTGTGAGCGTCCTTCTCACCCAGTCCCATCCCTGGGGGAGAGGGCGGTGGCAAGCAGCTCCAGGCTTCTGTAAATCCCAGAGGTAGAGAGAGCTCTGGCGGATCTCCAAGGAGGGCTGCGATCCCACCAACCAGGTTCAGAGGCTCATTTCTGAACCGGTCACCAGGCCAGAGGATAAGGTCCCTGATTAGCCAGGCCTGGGACTCTGGCACACCATGGTGTGGACCGAGCCAGGGACCAAACAGGGTCACTGTGCCATGGCGGGCAAGGGGCTGCCCAGAGGAACTGGCTGGCTGCAGTGCCAGTGGCCGGTCAGCTTAGGTCTGTGGGAGGTCAGCCCCAGGAGCGACAGGAGTCTTCCCTGGAGCCCTCCACGGCAGACCCCAAGGGGAAGCTGTGGGCGCACACAGTTTATGTGGGAAGTGATCCAGACAGGAGGGAGGGGGAGGGGGAAGGAAGACAGGATGGGGAGGGCCAAAGGGGGAGTGTTGGTGAGTGGGTATGAGGGCTGGGGTTCCGTCCCGCCCGGACCCTCCGGGAGACAGTAAAGCACCCCCAGAACTGTCCCCTGCCTGGGCGTTTATTCAGTTAGGGTCCCTCCTGAGACAGCGACCCCCAGAATGTGAGCAAGTGTGTGAGAAAGGGAGCCTCCACATA